GGTAAACCACCACAGTGTCGCGATTTGCCATACCATCAGTTTATTTGATAGTTTTCAGGATCATTGTTCAGACATCCCTGCAATCAAAATGTCACAGGACGATGAAAACGACGGAAAATTATCATCTAAAACAACGTCACGGTAATTGAAGCTGGGGATAATCGTCCTAAAGCTGGGCGCTAACGTATTTGGGTGGGGTGGGGGCAGGACTGACCACTCGGCAGCGCTTTCATATACCTTATCTAGTCGATGCTCAGGCACAGTGCCGCATAGGAGATGATGTCTTCCCTGCGACACTATCCTCCCACTCTGGTCGTCTGCGCTTTTGTCTGAGCACTATATACATGAGATGGAAGAAAGAAAGATACAGACGCGTAACGAAATGGCGTCTCCACTGGCCCCGGAAGCCTGTTCTATCATTCCATCTGCCATTATTTAAGGATTTCGTATAAAAAATACAGGAAGTTCAGAAAGGTTCTGATGCTTCATCTGGGGACCAAATCGATATGAATACTGATCTAATGGACGCGAGAACCACTAGCAGGTACTATTGAGAATACCTCCACTTTCAGCTGATTTCTATCACCACTATCCCTTTAGAGAGTCGTATAGAGAAGGAACAGGTGACACTCTCCCAATATATCATCCGAGTGATCACTTTGGCGGAGACTCTGATCCTTTAGACTTAAACACAGTCAACAGGTACAGTGCGGCAGTCTCCTCGACGTAGTGTTTCTCTCGCCGAGCATTTATTGTTCCTAGCAAACAAACTGGTGGAGTTGCGGAGATTCACGGCTACTCTGCCCAAAAGATCAGATTGACTAGATATATATACAGATTTTCTGACGAAGCACTACCAACAGGTACCGTACATTTTTTTTGGTCTCTTTGGCGAGTGTTCGACCTGGGCAGCAGGAACGATTTCGCAATGCAAGTAATCGCTGGTACCGTAGTTCGCGTGCTGGCTTTATTTTTCGAGTTTGAGGGAGTTTCATTTGCCCATTATCCCACCTCCATCCACACTGATTCCACGGTCTGGTGCAAAAGGTCGTTTCGCGCGCGAGCCTCCGTCTAGGATGATGATGATCCTTGGAGAAGGTGGGTTACGGTAGCAGCGGCTCACGAACTCTGTTCTGTCACGAGAGAGGAAGGATAAAATGATTCGGATAGAAGTCTTTGCCACGCGGTTTTCACTACAGAACACGCACGATACCAAGAGCCACTTTTATTGAATCGACCAATTGAGTCCTCAAACTTGGGTAATTAAACGATACGATAAATGAGTCAAAATGAATGCTAACTTTAAGCGAATATAGTCAGAACTGATTAATCTGCACTACAGGCAAGAGAATATTCATCGAAAGACAATACACCAAATGAGTCAGGATAAATGCTACTTCTAACCAGGAAAGGTCAACAGGTCAGCCCGGCCATTTCCAATGAGCTGCACACCGTTGTACGCGTCTTGGGACAGTGAACTCAAATCTACCTTCAGCGGAACGATTCTCTGAACGGAGTTATGGAGGGTTTTATCCCCGCGTGGTTGTTTCACATGCTATCGCGAGGAAACGTGGAAGCGTCTTCATATACAAGAATGGAGTCACATTGAAACGTGGCAGTAGAGCGCAACGGATAGCGAGCGGGTTTACTAGGCGAGACGTCGTAGGATCGGTTCTCGGCAGGGTGCTTTTTTGCATTTGTCCAAGAACATGGCCGACAAAGCTTCTAACATCTCTGCTCGCCTGCACTATCCTGTAAGGAAACTGCGACCAGTTCTTTCGAAAGTGTAGACCCATTGTGGCCTGAGTGCTTGTGCTTGTCCCCCCCGTAGCACATGTCACAAGGGTTTTTGCAATGTAATACCATGATATTCGTGTTCAGCGGGTCAAATTACCCCTGGAAACAAGTTTCTAGCCGAATCTGATATTTCGACCTAACTTGGAAAATGTGAGTTATTCCATGGGTAATTAGCAGCAGTTTGGAGCTCACCTACCATCGATGACTGGTCTCGGGATGGAATTCCTACCGGTAATCAGGAAAATGATGCAGACGACACGAATAAGTGAGCCAGATATTGTTCTTTGCGAAAAAACATGACTGAAGAGTTATTTCGTTCGAAGACCAGTCATCACCAGTATGCTAGTCGTAGTATCGCTGTTGGCTATCAGTCAGCCATGACTATCCATACCCCATTTTTTCGAAGTTGAGTCAGAAGCTCAGATTTCGCTAAGGTGACGTCTCTAGGGGTTATTTGACCCCCTGAACACGAATATGACACCTATTTTGCGCGAAGAGCGCTGCGAGTCGCACTACAGGTGCCAACGCTTCGGCGCCAGCGCGCCTGGAAGAAGAAAAACAGTAAAGAAACCTCCATAACTCCGCTCAGAGAATCGTTCCGCAAATTTTGAAGATAGTTTCGAGTTCACCGTGTCAAGATGATGTGCATCTCATTGCATATGGCCAGGCTGACCTGTTGACCTTTCCTGGTAAGTCAATATTTTGGACATAACCATACAATCTGCACCACCGAGCAAGAGCGTATAAGTCATTGAAATGAGCAATACATTAAAGTGAAAAAGAGAAGTGAGAAAATACATTGAAATGAAGAAGGAGCTTACAAGGCGTCGATCTGCAATGAATGAGTCATCCCTTGGCTTTTGTACAGGAGACGCTGGCGCGCCTTGAGCAGCTTGAGATTGTGTTGATAACGGCGCCAGCCTCCCCTTCTCATACAATTCCAGATCATTTAATCAAGAGTATAAGGTAATGGAAAGTCAAAGAGCCTAAATTACCCAAGAAGAGTCCCAAGAATAATCGCGTCCTCCGCGATACTCCCCGCCGACAGAAAAAAAGGGGGGAAGTGGGGATTGAACCCGCAACAACCTTCCGTTGAGAGCAAGCTAGGCGTCGTGGACTCCATGTCGTTCGAGTCTCCTTTTGATGCGCAGCACTCTCGTCGTCGAGTTCTCCAAGTCTCTACGTAAATTCTCGAGTCTATCCTCACGTCTTTTAGTTCTATCCGGTAGATCGCAAATGCACGCGTTGTGGCCTGTTTCACCGCAATAACGGCATCGCGCGTTCCTTTTGCGGCATAGTGGGCCACCGTCGCACCACCAGTCTAGACAGGCTCCACATCGTCCCTCTCGCGCGAGTATTTCACGTCGTTCTCTTGTAGTAATGTACGTGATACAGCTGTCCGAGTAGTGGTCTCCTCGCACTTTGCAGAAAACGCATGGCATGGTTCTTTCGTCCTCATTTCGAATCCTTCTACGGAGAAAGCTTCTCCGTGCACCTGGGTCATCAGTCTCGATTTGTCGCATCATCATCCTCAAATCCTCTCGAGCTTGTTGAGCTTGCCTTAGCTCATTCCTGAGTCTCTCTATAAGCTCTTCTTCCGTCTCTTCATCGTGGGGTTGAACCACCACTTCTGGAGCCGCCTGAATCTCCTCTTCGTGGATGTCGTCTCCCACTGCTTCATCAATCTCCACTAACTCTTCTGCGAAGAGTACTTTAAGATCCTGCGGCGTGATGATGTCACTGTCGCTGTCGTCTAATGGCTCCATAAAGGCAATGTTCTCCTGAATGCGAGAAGCCTCGCGCTTCTGAGTCTCTGAAGAATCCTCCAGATCCATGGAGTCATCAGGATCCACGAGCTTCGGGACGTCAGCATTAGCCTTATCTTCGCTTTTTGGGTCATCCATGGTTTCCCCGTCGGAGTCTGAGTATTCGTGGTAGTTGGAGTCAACGGGACCCCCAATAGAGAGATCCACGGAGCCGATCCCTGTCGTTCTTGAAGAGATCGTTTGAAGATGATGGCGTTCAAGTTGCTCTACTTTGGAGCGGATGGCCTGGAGGTGTAGCAGAACCTGCTGGTTGAAGTTCAACGTGTCTTCGTCATCTTCTTCCGCCAGTTCGTCCTCGAGTCTATCCAACTTCCAGAGACATTTTTCGAGCTTTTTCAGTTGAGTGCCGATGAGCTGGTCGACCACGGCTCTGTCTGTTGCTACGGGCTGGTCGTCAAGGTCTAGTACATTTTGCGCCATCATTGACCTCCATTCCGTTTCTGTAATCGCTCCTGTTGCTATCATCAGAGGAGGATAGATGTAGAGAGTGTCGAGTTGCGATTGACACAGAAGCAGCTGGAACTGTAGTCTCCCTGCAGTTTCCTGTAGCAGTTCACGATAGAGAGTCTTCTGGTTCCAGCATTGCTTATCTCTTCGGAAGGTTTCTATTTGGGTCTCTAGTTTAGTGATAGGATTAACTAGAGCATGAACCTTTAGACAAACATCTTTAAACTTTAAGTAAAAAGTCTCCTTGGGTGGGAGATATGGCAAAGAGTCTGTCAGTCGGTCGTAGTCAGCTTGGAGTTGAGCGAAGTCTTTTGAATCAGCCATGTCTAAACTAATCATTTTATAGGTAATTGACTTGAACCATAGAGGAATATATGAATGCACTGATGAAGTTAATGATTTTTTTCGTGATCATTGGTTCGTCTTATGCCCGCTTCTTTTTTCATGTTGGCGTTTTTAAGTACAAATATTAGTATTTTCACTGGGCATAAGGCGAACATAATTATCGCGTGAGCGAGGAGTCTTAGAAATTTCATTCCTAAGCTTTGTATGAACACATATGTCAGCAGAAGTATGGCCACGACGAGTAGAAACCCGAACAAGACCATTTTATACCAGGAAAGAAAAACGGATATAATGTGGTTGAAGTCTGGCCATGCTATTTCGTGATAAACCGTGCTATTTCCCTGGATAAAAGCTGACATGTGAATGTGGATATTGGTGGTATATTTGAGAATACCGGATAGGGTAAATTTCCCAGTCTTAGACCCACATTTTATAGAACAATTTAGCAGTTGTCGTGCAGAGTCTAGGTGGAAGTGTAACGTTGTTACGGGGGATTTAGGACTGCATGGCACCACAAATGCATGGTTATCGCAAACAACTTCTCCCAGGGTTTCCGAGTGGGAGTGACACCTAACTTTTGCGTGTGCTCCTTTTGAACACTTATAGCAGCCTTGCAGCGCGCTATTAGCAATGAGGCAAGTGTTATTTTCCACGGTTAACGCTGTGGTGTCTACTGTTTCCAAGAATTCGAGAATTACATCCGCACTCACCATTTGTGGAATTTTTGCGATGAGCATGCTGTTAGTTTGCCTTTTCAGTTCCCATGCGGCGGTTTTTACTGGGAGCTTGAGTTCAACTCTGTTAAATTCTTCTTCCACATCAATGGTGGAACAAATGCAATTCGCTCTGTTCTCAGCGGGTGTACAGCGACAGTCTTCTACAACTGAGCAATTTAATGAGCTTGCCTGCTGCCTGGTTGCACAGACGAGGTTTGGAGGGGATTGTTGATCCCATATTGCTGTTTCCTCACCGTTGGTGATAAATTTCTTGTTGAGAGATGGAGTAGGTGGTAATGTCAAGGTTGTTACTGTGAGTCGTACTGAGGGAATTTCTACCGGAACATTGGGAGTGAATGCGAGTACATAACGTTTTTTTCCGGTTGGACTATGGAAGTCTTCAACCATAACTTCCATTTTCAGTTCTTCCGTCCAGCGTGTACAGCGAAACACCTCATAAACCTTTGGTGATATGGGAACAGCGAATACACGATAAAATAAGCAACCAGAGCTGAGGTAGAAGCAATCGCATCCCCAGCCTCCGCAGGACTCGATGCAACCTGTTCTCCCTGGGAAGCTGTTAGCCGCTGCTAGTTCCTCAACAAGAGTCGAGGTGTTGAAATTAGCGCATTTTTCCTCCCCGCACGATCCCATTTTCGGGCAGCGTTTGCTGTCTAACGTTTTGAGTACCGTAGGTCGCGTAAAGTATAAGGTTTCTTGATCGCAGCGCAGATAGAGTCCTTTCCATCGTACTTTTATGTTGGCAATGAGAGATGTCTTATGCGTCACCCTTAGGCATGCTTCTTGTGTAAAAGAATTGAGCTTCAGCAATTCCATGAGTCGAATTTGGCATGTTTCTCCTCTTTCTCCGGATGTGCAAATTGTGGAGTTATGCTCGAGGATATTTACATGCTGACAAGCTCGAACCGTGGAAGGGGATAACGCAGCAAAACATGTTATTATGGCTAGCGCTGCCATAATTCGATCTCTCTGCGATCTATACCGTCGTCCTAGGAGTCGGCGTAAGACTTTAAGGGTACAGCGTCCCATGTTTCGTGCGAAAAATGCTATCACTAATTTCACGCCTTGCAAAAGGAGTCGTATTGGTTTTCCGATAGTCATTGGAACATACAGGAGGGTGTAAAGTGTCGCCACTGTGCCGTATAAGAGTACCATGACTATCGATAGAGCTCGTATTGGTCGGCATTCGGGATTCAAGAGTACAGGTGTACAGAACCAGCAATCAATGTTCTCGCAAAAGTCTATTCCTGGACATCTCGTTTCTATCGTGGTCAGTTTTCCTTTTACATTCCATTTTATGAGAACGAGGTGGTCATGGATCGTGATGTCTGGCGGGATTCTGATTAGTCCTGGTATTTCAGTAACGTTAAAACGCTGACAATAATGTTCCGCACAGATCTCGATCGTTTTATTCCCTGTTTTTGTCGAGACGAGTAGTCCTTTTTCTGTACAGTCAATTGTGATGTCCCGAATTATTGATGCTAACGATATGTTAAGCCATGAAAGGAGCATAAGATGGAATAAGAACCATTTTGCCTTCACTCGAGAGCCCGGTGAATGTGCTACTGTAACATTAACCGGTTGTGGTTTTGTGGAAGGACGCTTTCTTAGATTGTAACGGTGGTGTGGAACTGGAGTTTGGGTGGGTACCTCTTCTGAACGCGAAAGGTCTACTGGGAGTGCGTTTTCGACGTGTTCCGTTGTATGTATCTCCATTGGTACCAAGAGGTTCACCGGCCGACGTATTGTTCGCTTCGTTGCTGTGATAAGTTCGACCTCTCTAACATTTCCATCATGACCATATCGCATGTTCGTGACCCTTCCCAATTTCCAGTCATTCCTTGGTAGGATAGGGTCGTTTATAAGCACGACATCGCCTACTGCCGGTTTTTCCTTTCCACATCTTCGGTTGGTCACAGACATCTTATGTTTTTCCCGCAAACTCGTCAGATACTGTTCTTTACT